GTACTGCCTGACCACAAAGAAATTCAGGACTTCATAGGCGTGATTTTTACTGACAGCTGTCGCAGAGATCAAGCTATCTTTTATGAACCATAGTTTGCAAATGAGTTCTGCTTCTGTCCCATCAGAGAGACTATTTTCCACCGCAGGTTTTATTAAAACAGATTTGCGAAATCACTTTTCTCCGCAAATGTTAAGAAAAGGTACTTTGTTTTTTTAAACAAAAATCTCATCAATGTTAATTTTAATTACTAAAACTATTAACTAATTTCAACCTTTCTATGGTTTGAAACGGTTTTATTTAGTTTGTCCTGTTATTTGTTCTTTTTATATTATAAAAATAACCTGACTTGTTTTATTTATTTTACCTTCATTTTTAAATTCAATAAGCGTATTGGTATCGGTATCGCCGATATAGGAGCATTGGAATCGTATCAGCGAAAAGGCGTATCGAGGTAAAAACATCTATCTTCCATAAAAGAGGCAAATAGCACTACAACTTTTTTCAAAATCTCAGTCACATATCGTCGCTGTTAGTGACCCGTTCTCAATGAGCGGGAGCGGGAGGTATTTGTATGGGGGACGTACGGACCTCCGTACGTCCCCCATACAAATACCTCCCCCATACCATAACTGAGATTCCATATATAATGGTGTTGCATTGAGTATACCGCTCTCCCGGGCGTCTCCAAACTAATCCATCCATAATCATCTGTGAATAGAACACTCAATTCAAATTCAAAAATTGTAAAATTTTTTTTACGTGGTAGAGCTATGCTGTATTATAGTTGTAGCACGAATTGGTCGGATCGACCGAGGAAAGATCACGCTCTCACAGGAAGAATATCAACTCAATGCTGCTGTGTTTCGTATGGTGAGTGTAGAGAACCGGAGACCCTTTTTACTGGAAACGAGGCATTCCATCTTAGTATCGTCTAAGTCCCCAGGGGTGTCAACATATCTGCATTTTAAATTTTAATTCTTAATCGAGGATTTTTATGGGCCACAGCATCCACTTATCATCAGATGGACTGTGTGCTCGTTTGTCACCCGAATTCTATTATTAAATCGTATTATAAAAGAACGCAATATAACGCAATAATTACATAAAAACTTATGAAATAAAAAAATATTCCAAAACTTTTTTTAATAGCATTTATTAATATTTGCGGCCAGTACGCACGATAATTACAATAAGAGAAATTACACCATTCTTGTTGCGTTCCACTAAATTTGTCCATATATATATATATATATATATATATATATATATATATATATATTTGTGTATACACAAATACTATGCCCTGTAGTGGCGGTTGAGAATATCCACTACCCCATGTCTTCCCGTGGGTGTCGTACGAGGCGACAGAGGGAGACAGGCAAGCGATGGGCAGCAGCATCTTCCTGATAACAACAATTACACAATAAAAAACTGTGGTTGCCAACCCGCTCGCCAAGCGTGCCAACTATGGTAACGGCGGGGCAGGGGTGCTAAGAATCTTTGGTGGAGGTTCGGTTGCCACCTACGACGACTCGACCTGGCAACATATAACGCACGCACCCTGAGGACTGACGAGAAGATACTGGAGCTGGAAGAAGAGGTAGAAAGGTTGCGCTGGCATATTATAGGATTATCCGAGGTCCGAAGAGACAGGGAGGGCACGGTAATCCTCAAGTCCGGCAACTTGCTCTATCACCGGGAGGGCGACCATCTGCCCCAAGGAGGTGTCGGATTTATCGTCCACAAGCCTCTCGTCAACAACGTTGTAAAGATTGAGAGTGTGTTGACGAGAGTCGCGTACCCGATACTCAGAATCACCAAACGGTATTCGCTGAAGGTCATACAGGTTTACGCACCAACCTCGGCACATCACAGGATATCTCTAGAGCCATGCATTCCTCCTAACCCCACTATACGGTGTTGATGGGAGACTTTAACGCAAAACTAGGCACAAGAGAAAGCGGTGACCTGACGTTAGGGAAATTTGGAATAAGCGACTTCATGGAGAAAGAGGGACTCTTTATGATGAACTCTTTCTTCCAGAAGCGGCCCCACAGGAAGTGGACCTGGTCGAGCCCTGACGGTTCGACAAAAATGAGATTGACTTCATTACGACGACCATACGCCAACTGTTCAGTGATGTCTCAGTGATCGCGAGGGTGAAAACTGGCAGCGATCACCGAATGGTTCGAGGCACACTGAACTTAAACGTTAAGTTGGAGAGGTCTCGTCTAATGAAGTCAACGCTCCGTCCCCCTCGTGCTAAAATCCAGAATCCCGAAACCTTTCAGCTCGAGTTACGTAACCGCTCTCAGTGCCTAGAAGACTGCAATGCAGTGGACGATATGAATGACAAGCTCGTGGAAACTGTCCAAGCGGTCGGAGCTAAGTTCTGCAAGGCCCGCCGCAGAAGAACACAAAAACTCTCCGATCACACTCTTAATCTCATGGATGTTAGACGGGAGATGAAGCTGCAGTCGTCAACAGATTTGACAGCATACAGGCAACTGAACAGACAGATCTCCAAATGCATGCGGCGAGACTTACGAACTTTAATACTGCTCGTATTAAAGAAGCGATCGAGCGGAACCAGGGCTCCAAAGTCTTTGCCAGAGATCTGTCTGCCAGAAAGAGCCAACTGTCAAAGCTGAAGACTGAATGTGGCAGCATCGTTTCCGGGACACCTGAGATTTTGAGTGAGATTGAGACTGGGCACAAGAGAAAGCGGTGACCTGACGTTAGGGAAATTTGGAATAAGCGACTTCATGGAGAAAGAGGGACTCTTTATGATGAACTCTTTCTTCCAGAAGCGGCCCCGCAGGAAGTGGACCTGGTCGAGCCCTGACGGTTCGACAAAAATGAGATTGACTTCATTACGACGACCATACGCCAACTGTTCAGTGATGTCTCAGTGATCGCGAGGGTGAAAACTGGCAGCGATCACCGAATGATTAGAGGCACACTGAACGTAAACGATAAGTTGGAGAAGTCTCGTCTAATGAAGTCAATGCTCCGTCCCCTTTGTGCTCTAATGCAGAATCCCGAAACTTTTCAGCTCGATTTACAAAACCGCTTTCAGTGCCTAGATGACTGCAATACAGTGGACGATATGAATGACAAGCTCGTGGAAACTGTCCAAGCGTTCGGAGCTAAGTTCTACAAGACCCACCGCAGAAGAACACAAAAACTCTCCGATCACACTCTTAATCTCATGGATGTTAGACGGGAGATGAAGCTGCAGTCGTCAGCAGATTTGACAGCATACAGGCAATTGAACAGACAGTATTAAACTCGTATTGAAGAAGCGATTGAGTGGAACCAGGGCTCCAGAGTCTTTGCCAGAGATCTGTCTGCCAGAAAGAGCCAATTGGCAAGGCTGAAGACTGAGTGTGGCGGCATCGCTTCTGGGACACCTGAGATTTTGAGTGAGATTGAGAGGTTCTATGGGCAGCAGTACACGTCATCGTTGGAGCCACACGCAAGTGAGTAACGATCCAAGAGCAAAGTATTATCCGACACTATTCCGATGATATCCCGGACGTCAGACGTCTAATAAATATAGTATAAAATACCTTAAGTAGATTCGATTCGTTTAGGCTATCAAATTTTAATTTGGGAGACTGGTATAATTCTGATTATTTATATGATGCTTTTCAGCGGTTTTGGAAATCTACATTTAAAATAAAAACTGTGGCTAAACTGTATAAAACTTACATTCGATTTAAAGGTTTAAACTTTAAAGAGAGAGATATATCTTGTTTTCATAAAAAAGGGCCGTGTGATGGCGATGCGTAGGAGAATCAGTCTTCCCATTTCTACCCCTGGTTGTCGTTAGAGGTGACTTTGGGAAATGCCGAAAAATCTTATGGCTTCCGATAGATGGTGGAATAACCATGTCGCTCACTGGTGTAAGACCTCAAATTGCACTCAGACCTCAGACCGACGACAGGCAGCAGCTTCAAAATTGTGAGTAGTTTGGTTCTGCGATCAATTCGTCTGCCAAGCGTGGTCCACGTCCAGCCGTGGACTTGTACCGGCAGATGGAGTTAATGATGAAGAATTCTTTATTATTATTATACTATATATATTTTAATGTTATAGAATCCTATAATATTATAGGATTCTTCACAGGGGAGGTTGTCATCCACGCTATTATACTAGGATACTTAGAATAAGAAATGCCTACTATTGTAGCAATGTAGATATTATTTAATAAAAAGGGTTTTATTTTTTTCCTTACAAACTCTGGGGTTCCATACGTCTCTCTTACATCCATCGATTGTAGGTTTTGTTACTTTCAAAATATGAGCGAGATAGGTATGTTTGTTATACGTGTTTACGAAAAATTTATTACTTAATTGCGTATTACTTAATTGTTACAGTATTATACTATACGTTCTTGTTAGAGTTTAGAGCAAAAATTATCACCGTAACTAATTCATTAATTTGGATAAAATTGGACACATTAAACAATTTCTTGATGAAACGATTTTACAAGCAATAAAATTATGTATTCATGATGGTAGCTCAATCTCTACGTATAACGTCAATTGCTTATTTATTGAAAATAATGTAGGTATAGCATAAAATAATCACAACAAACACAGTGTGCAGCGGGTGGTCGGCGCTCTATAGTCGTTTGCGCTGGCACGTCTGAGTTATCGAATTTTAACACAGTCGGATCCGATAAGGTCTGGCGTCGATAGTGTGCAGTACGAATTCGACGACATACAGGGAAGTTTGCGTTACTCATTACCGCCGTAAAGAGTGATAATCCGCGCAAGTGAGTGCGCCGAGCGTCGCGTCAGTGAGATCGCGTACCGCAGACCGCTACCCACGCGACTGCCATATATCTTCGCGAATTCGTGGTTCAACAATAAGAAACAATGACACGTAACCACCGGGGCCCGCCACCCATCATATGAAACACCACAGGAACGCATTACTGCCGTTTAGTCAGTAACTTGCGAAGTGTACCAGATCAGTGTGATATACGGAAATGTCATTACCGCGTTTTAACTTTCCGCCGGAAAGTTACTCCGCCGTTTATTCCAGCGACGTGACGAGTGCGAATGTGAGTACCTAGTAAGAGACGATTGGCGAGTGGCGACTGTTATCGGAGAGCAGCTTGCGTACATGCGCAGCGACAAGGTCGCGGCTTGTACATTAGTGCATTCAACTCATTTTATGGAATAGAACATCTGCCAATCATCAATCGATTAGCTTCTTCTAATTGAAGCTTAAAATACCATTCACTATTTCCATTATACATTTCGGACGAAACGTGACGTTAGAATTGAGTTATTCTTAGGATATTCAAACCGGATCCAAACATGCAAATTTTTTAAACCAATTTATAAATATTGGTCAGAGGTTATAGAGCTCGCTTGGCGGGTGCTTATAAGTCGCTGCAGTGAAATAGTAGGTTGATGTCCCTAATTAATACTAGTCTCACCCCTACTAACAGCCTTTTCTCCTTTTACTTCAAAAATAAGATTTCCAGTGGCATTGACTGCAAATATTTTCTGCGTAAAAATCTTCGTCATTAGAAGAATGTATATTTCAAATATTACTGCAGTTATAACTCTATCAGTATTAAATTTACAATAAAACACGTTGGCAACTAACAACGCTCATTTTCTTATTTTTTGGCAAGTTATGGTCCCGATAAAATTAGGCTTATTTTACATTACCTCATCGTTGCGTACTGTGATTTGTGGGTTTGATAATTTTAGCCAAGTAAAATATATAATATGGCTTGTCAGAAACTGGAATAAATATCATTAATTCGGACACAACGTATTTTGAGACATTAGACGGCAGCGCTAAGGAAGTTAAGAACAAACCTAACATGTTATTAAATTGAAAGTTCAACAAAAAATGCATTTGTTTTTCTATCAGACATTTTTTGCATTAAGAACATCTTATATTTTCATTGTTTTTTGAGAAAGACCTACCAAAAACTCAAAGGACATAAGCCTATGGTAGGTTGGCATAAGGTACAAAAAAGGACGACAATCGGTACATTTGGCTGAAATTTTAGCCATAACGCCAGTTATGTTTGTTGACGTTTTTAAAATTGTTTTACCTAATATGATTGTACCCAATATGGTTGTAATCGATTTAAACAAGTATTTACAATAATTGTGCTGTTATTAAAATAGCACGAATTTTAAAGTTGAAATTGGCACTAAAACACTGGTATTAACCTACCACCCCGTATAGGTATTTAATTTGTTCATTTGGTCCATGAAGTCTACCGTTAACCACTGGAACATTATGCTATAGTCATGTCAACACTACAGGAACGAACTATATTTTTAGTAAAATATGGTACAGGGGTTATTGAGTAGAACAAGGCAAGAATTTTAGGTGTTATTATTAGTTTGTGTCTGTCTGTATTTTTATTATTATAAACCTATTGAATTATAAAAACATTCAAACGAAATCAAGTCAACATAGGCTGCAGTGGTCCATATTTTCGCTAAAAGGTATTTTCCTAAGTATCGATAAAGTTTTATTTGAAAGTAGGTATTTATTGCGAGTTATTTTACAGATAATTTTCAGTTTGCGTAATTAAATAAAATGTGATCGGAAAGACACATTGCAGGCTGCTTGAAGATTTTAATAACTTTAAAACTGTCGGATATTTTGTTTAAAATCTACAAAAACAAACAAACGTTATATATAAAAATAGAAACAGGAAAAAAATCTTGATCATTATACTATATACACTTACTATGTACAAATTAACTGAGTGACAAAAAGCGATTCCAACTCTGTACTAGTGGGCTGTAGGATATCGGTCCGATACTTATTTTTAATGCAGTCCATGGACACCTACAGCAACTCCAAACAAAGAAGGCTATAGATGCATTGAATCACTGAGGACTAATATGAAATGCCGCACAGCCTGTACCTGTAGTTATACCAGCACTATACCCTTCAGGCCGGAAAACAGCTGTTTGGTGATTTTCCCACTGTCTAGTGTCTATACTTTTACCAGAGTTCCGTCTGTCAGTCAGAAGGTTACACCACGAAAAAGGTCGTAATTTCTTACTTTCACGCCACATGCCCTATGTATTCTAATGTTCTCTTAACTTTATAACCTTTACAATGAATTTTTTTAAAGTTATAAGCCAGTGCTCGACTACAATTCCACCAGTTGGTAAGCGGTGATTCACCGCTTAACACCTGGTGGGATTGTAGTTAGGATGATTTACCATCAAGGGTTTAAGGCATAGATGGTAAATCACACTGTCCTCGAGTACCTATTACTTGAACTTATTTTCTATATTGTACACCCACAAACGGAGTGGAGGAGATACACACTTAACCTTCTTTACCATTTATAATTGATTTCTGCTGGAAGTGGAGTAAAGAAACGAATTGAGGGCATTGCCAATGAGGAAGGCTATAGGAGGCCTAAGTTAAACACAGGACTTTTGATGGGAAGCAATAAATGAAATAAATGACAAGCAGTTTACATAAATCTCTTAAGGTAAAGAGAGTTAGAAAGTTAGTTTTTGTTAATAGATATTTTGGTTAAGTGCAGACATAATTGGTGAAAATGTTGATATAATTTAAGTTAAAGTTATAATAGTAAGCTTATTTTCAACTTAAATTTTAAAATGGCGATATGTATGCATAAGAAGGTCATCTGCTTGAAATGTAAACCAGTGAAGGTTACATTATTCGGGACACATGTGGACAGTTGTTTTGTTCAGATACGTTCGATAAAGTCCAATGCAACTACATTTTTGTTGGTAGCTGTATTATACTCCCACCCGAAACTACCGTTTTTTTGACCACGTTAATTTTTTTTAACATATTTCATATTATCTTTGCTTCACCTGTATGTATGTATGTAACGGTCTGAATAATCGGAATTTATGCAGACGTATTGAGAACAGGGACCTGTTTAATAAACGTTACAAATTGTGAATTGTAGTTGCATATAACAGGCTACAAATCCATAAGTTTCTGTTTAATAAGGAATACAACTTACAAGTTTACCATGCTGGAAAATAGACGAAATTCTGCTCAAGACAATAACTGCTCGGGGCAAGCTGTACTACTTCATATTTCTCCTGCCCAGGGTACAAATTGGAACACTCCTTTGTGCCTCGGGCTCTAGTTTGCTTATACGTCAGAGTGGACAACTGTTGTCGACGCCTCGGATGTCCCAGAAGTCGGCGTCAATCCGGATTCGGGTGGTCAAGTCATAATAGTTAACAGAAAAATTTAAAAATTACAGGCCTTTATAAAAAAAATAGAGAAAATCTACACCCTGTAACGGTCTTTTAACTCTTGTTGCTAGAAATTTTCACTTTTTTATTTTTTTGATTATGTAATCCTGAATAAAGCTTCCGAAAACTGTTGCTTAAAATTTACAGCTTGCTGCTCCAGTCTAGAAGGAAATGTAATTTTTTTTAACTTTGTCCTGTTTTAAATGACTGTACTAAAATAAACGTGCTACACGGGCTTAGCAAGTAACTTTGAAAGTTGGCACATTTAATAAGGATTCCAAAATGGTATAACACTTGCAACATTATTTGTTAACTTACGGTGGAAGCAATTTTTTTTAAAAACCCAGTTTATTTTCCTTGCCTGTTTAAAATGATATTTGTGTACCCCAAGGCTTTTTTGAAGCCTATTACTTAAGATTCTAGTTTGAGTGAAACGAAGGGAACCAGTTGACGAAGTGTGAGCGAAACAGAGAGTCATTGCCAAGGCAAAGCCAGAGCACATCAGAGCAGAGCAGAATTTCTGGTCTACCTGATTCATAGATGGGCGGCGGCAGTAGAGTCCAAGGGGGAGGCATTGGCCGTTAGTTTGGACATTGCGAAGGCCATCGATCGGATTTGGCACAAAGCGCTTCTTTCGAAGCTCCCTTCCTATGGGCTTCAAGACTCAAAGACTAACTAACTAACTAACGTAACTAACTTTCAAGCCTATTAATGCTGGTGTTCCACAAGGTTGCGTGCTATCACCAACGCTGTTTCTTCTGCATATCGATGATATATTGCAAACCGACAACATACATTGCTATGCAGATGACAGCACTGGTGATGCTCTGTACAGCGGCCGTGCCTGTATTTCTCGGGAAAACGTCTCCGAGTACCGGAACAAACTTCCGTTTGAAGTCGAGTCTTTGCTGAACAAAGTCTCGGATTGGGGGCGACTAAATCTAGTCCAGTTTAACCCTCAGAATACACAAGTTTGCGCGTTAACCGCTAAATGGAACCCCTTTGTCGTATCTCCTAAGTTTCAAGGCAAGGTGAGTACCTTATTAGTCAGTATCGGAATCCTCGGCGTTAACATATCGAGTGATGTGCAGTTTCGTGGTCACTTGGAAGAGAAGGCCAAATTGGTCTCTAAAAAGCTTGACGTGCTCAGCAGAGCGGGACAGTATTTCATGCCGGCACACCGCCTGCAACTTTACGAGGCGCTGGTTCGGCCGCACATGGAATACTGTTCCCATATCTGGGCTGGGGCTCCCCAGTACCAGCTCCTTCCACTTGAACGCATCCAGCACAGAGCGGCTCGAATCGTCGACGATCGAGTGCTTTCCGATCGGCTCAATTCGCTGGCGTTGCGAAGAGATGTTACATCTCTTTGCGTATTTTATCGCATCTTTCACGGGGAGTGCTCTGAGGAATTGTTCGGATTAATCCCAACTGCCAAATTTCACGAACGCACTACGCGGCAAACCTCCCGATACCATCCACACCATCTGTATGTTTGGCGGTCCACCACTGTACGTTTCACTAGGAGTTTTCTTGCGCGTACGACCTCTCTGTGACTGATCAAAGTATTAATTTGGAATACGTGGTTAGGAAAAAAATCACATTACTTTCTAGACTGGAGCAGTTGGCTATAAATTTTAAGCAACAACTTTAGAAGCATTATTTAGAATATCATAATAAAAAGAAAATTAAACAAAGCTGAACTTTGTAGCAACAGGAGTTAAGACCGTCACAGTGGGTAGATTTTCTCGATTTTTTTATAAATGCCTCTAACTTTTAAAATACATAGTGTAACGTCTAGCCTGCTGGCCGTGTGAGGATGCTCAAAGTCGCTCAGCGAGCTATGGAGAGGCCTATGCTTGGGGTTTCGCTGCGTGATAAACTTAGAAATGAGGATATCCGAAACAGATAGTAGAACCAGAGTGACCGACATAGCTCAATGGATTAGTAAGGTGAAGTGGCAATGGGCCGGCCATATAGCTCGAAGAACCGACAACCGTTGGGGAAAAAAATGTTCTCGAGTGGCAGCCTCGTACCGGTAGGCGAAGTGTAGGGCGACCCCACAATAGATGGAGTGACGAACTGGTAAGACATGCAGGAAGTCGATGGATGCAGGTGGCCCAGGGCCGTGCTTTGTGGCATACCTTGGGGGAGGCCTATGTTCAGCAGTGGACTTGTGAAGGGTTATAATGATGATGATGATGATGATGAACAACATGAGAAGAAAATACCAATTTTTGAACAAAATGCTTATTATTTTGTGTACTATTTATTTTAAAAGGCTCGTTTATCACGTATTTCATGAGTTCAGTCAGAAGCGTTCCGCGTTCAACGAAGAACAGAAGCATAAATTTACAAGTTTATATGACCTAAAAACACTATAGCAACCCATATGCCTTTTAAAATCAATATGATAGAAAATATACATATTTATATAGAATCATTAAAGAATTTTGTGATTACGAGTAGGTAGGTTTATATTGGTTTATGTTGAAATCCTCGTCTGCAACATCATTATTATCTCCAAATGGACATACTCTTCTAGATCTGACTGATTTAAAAGTTCTAAAACTTCTTCGATTTGGTCATCTCGCATTGAATTGACTAAATACGATAGGTATTAATAAGTAAAAGTACCAGTAATTCTAACAATATCTTTACAGATATTGATTAGATTTATTGATTCGAGATATTACCTGAATTTCATTGTAAAGAAGAAACGAAATGTGCAATGTGAGATAATGTTGTGACGAGAATTAAAAAAGGAATGCTTCGGTGGTTTGGTCATGTAGAAAGAATGAATGAGGAAAGAGTGACAAAACAAATTTATGTTGCTGAAGTGAACGGCAGAGTTGGTAAGGGACGCCCCAGGCGAAAATTTGTCAACCAAATTGGCGACCTACTGAACAGGGGCCAAATTAAGAGTACCCTTAATCGACGAGCATGTATGCGTAGGTATATGAATGTGGAAGAGGCAAGAGAGGTGTGTCAGGATCGTGCCAAATGGAAGGCTGTAGTCTCTGCCCACCCCTCTGGGTGACAGGCGTGAGTCTTTATGTATGTATGTAAATAATAAAAATGTCAATTATCAGCTATATTCTGATTATAGATGTCTTCAGAAATTAAATTTTTAAATTTATTTTGAGTTCGTTTACCGAGTAAAATGTATTTTGAAGAAGCTATTAGCATTTATACTCGTATATGTTTTATTTTTGTATGGGAAGATATTTAATTGTGTGCGATATTTTAGTGTATATTTTTTACCCGTTTAATAACTACTTTTGCTACAGCATGTACGTTTTGGTACATATTTCGCTAATTACTATTCTATCTGGGTATCTCGTTTTCAGGAACACAACTTCTTTATTAAGTTTATAAAACTCATTCCGTGTTATTTTAAGAATTAGGCAACCTTTAATATAAATGTTATTGACCAAATAATTAATCAGGGTACCTACTATTTATAATGCCCGGACGATATGAAAAATAGTAGTAAGTTAAATTGGGCTAAGTAATTATTAATATCTACAGATTTAAACTTCAATTTTTCATTTACATCCCGAGAAGATGATGCGCGAGCGCAGGCCTGGTAACACTCCTGCTCATAATGTAATGCAATTTTGCAGGAGCGACCAAACCAAGGCTGGGTTCTGCCTCCGATAGGTACCACAGATGATGAAGTAAATAGTTCCATTCCCTGTAGCACCACATCAGCGATAGAATCAGCAACAACGCTGGGATCATCCGGCGAGAAGAAAACCCGCCTCCAAGGGTAGGATGCAAAAAAAGTTCGCATCCCGTCCCAATCGGCTGACCTATAATGCCAAACGCGGCGGCAACATGCAGTACGCAACCGCGATGGGAGCGTGAATAGCACCGTACTCCGGATCAGACAATGGTCCGAGGAGCCAAGAGGGGCATCAACGGAGACCTGATATACGTCCGGCTAAGAGATCAGCAGAAGGTCCAACAGGGAAGGTACATGATTTTCCACATATGGGATCCGCGTAGGCGAAGTAACCAGTTGTGTCAGACCATATGCCAAAGCAAAGTCATAAACAGATCTACCCGCATGATCGGTTAAACGAGAACCAAGCCATTCAGCATGGTGGGCGTTAAAATCACCAAGTACCACGATCTCTGCGGATGGGACCTGTTGTAGCACGGAGTCTGCATTCATCTGGACGTGGTCGATCAGTCGGTCTGTGACGGCATTACCGCTACGGGACCTATATAGGCACCCGTAGACGAGTGGATGGTCGTCGCTGTCTACGCGCAGCCATACGATGGACATATGACAGATCTGACATATGAGACCTTCAAGACTCCTGAGACGTCGAAAACAGATGTCCTCTCTGACGTACACGGAAACTTCAGCCCGGGCACAAAATAGTGTTCTAATCGGTACCCCGGGTAGGAGAGATATAAAGTGTCAGCCGGAGAGGACACCTGTGTCTCGGTTAGAAAGAGCAAGACCGACTTCGCCGTTTCCAGATGGTAGTGGACGGCGTTAAGGTTTGATGAAGTCCCCTGATGTTGCAGAAATCCACAGATAGCGTGGCAAGGGGCGCCTTTGACTTATTGCTCCGTTTGCCCCGAGCAGGTTTAGTCTTGAGCGGAAAAAAATCTAAACTAACCTATCTCTTTATTATCTACCATGCCCAATATTAAGTTACTGGTTTAACTTGTAAAGACTGGGTCACCTACACATATTGGGCATTATCCATATCGCCCGGGCGTTATGAATAATAGCCTATTAATCAATTAGTCCATATCGTATATTATATATAAACAAAGCACGGATACCCATGTAAATAGAGGTCGGCATGACACATCTGGGCCAATATCGTGAATATGCCATTCACTGTTACCGAAAATTATGATCCCGAAGCGAATAACCGACTCAATATATGTCATAATTGCAGTTCGTTTTGTTGTTATTTTTGTAAGTCCTTGAAGAGCATATGTGAACTTGTTTACTATATTACATTTACACAAACTTTTCTTTCCACTTTAAACCTTTGTCAACGATTATACCTAAGAATGTAGCGTTAGTAGCACTACAAAGATTTTGTCTATTATAATTAATATTTACTAAACTATTATTTATATTTTGGTGATATGTGGTATAAAATTAGTTTTTTCATCTGCATAAATACATAAAAGAAAATGAAACGATTACAGGAATAATTTCGATCGGAAGATCACGCCACAGGTCGGTCGCCTCATAAGCCCGGTTCAGATATTTTGTTCGCTTATCTATTTCGGTTCTCAAGAGGTTCTCGTCATACGGAATGGTAATGTCAACCAAAAATATCCTTGCCATGTCCATCAGCACAATATCAGGTTTATCGCAAGAAGTCCTGTGATGATATGTGATTGCATGGCTTCCGGTTGTCCCACAACCTGTAATAATACTTGCTTTCTGGTCTTTTAAACAGCAGTATTACTAGAAAAACCATTGCAATGTTGGCATATTCCTTAAGTCAAAAGAACATTGTAGAGATGCGGAGACCCTTTATACTGGAAACGAGGCTACCATCTTAGTCCTCAGGGGTGACAACGCATCTTCGTTCTGATTCTTTGCCACTGGATAATTCTTAATCGAGGATAAATGTAGATGTCTATGGGCCACAGAATCCGCTTACCATCAGGTGGACTGTGTGCTCGATTGTCACGCTTATTCTACAAAAAAAGGTGTTTTATCATCTAAGTTAGTTAGGACGACGTCATCATTAAATTCAAATCCTTACCACTGTTTAATTGTTTTTTTTTGTTGCTCAACAGGTAGTGCATTGTACAGCATCAGGATGCGAACCACGTGGTGTACATAATCAACTTGGCGCCCCGGCATTCGAACCATCAACACCACCAACTTCTTTATTCAGCTGTTTTCATTGCGCGGTAAGTTTCAGTTATAACGTTGTTAAAAATAAAGAAGTATATTTTCAATTTAAAACGCTCATCATATTATTTTATTAACCATGTGCTGCTAGATAAGTGCTGCAGCGTATTTCCCATGATGCTCTATCTGCCCATCTGCCCTTTAGCGGATCTTGTTATTATCAAACAGCTCTAACCTCTTTTAGCGCTAATGCTTAACGATCGATTGTTGAGCTTTCTATTATTAGCTTTATTATGTTCCGCTGCTAGTTTAATCTGTGGAATATTCGGTTCCTTTATTTTTAATTTTTCTAATTTTAAGCACATCTGATCAATAATCTCTTCATATCTTATTGGATTGTCTCAAACATCTGCAGAGGGATCAATCCATCTTGTCCAGCTGAGGTGGCGTAAGGTTCGATTATAGGAAATACCAGATAGATCTCAAGGATTCATATTGATTGCGATGTTATTATGTTGTTTATGGCAGATGTAACGAATTAGTAAGTTTTTTACGTGGTAGAGCCACGCTGCAGGTATATTATGGTGGTAGCACGAATGGGTCGGCTCGACCGGGGAAGGTCCACGCTCTCACAGAATACCAGCGTGAAATAGCAGCCTAATACTATGTAATATGGTGAGTGTTGAGTCCGACCCTTTTTTACTGGAAACGAGGCATTCCATCTTAGTCCTCAGGGATAGATGTCTATGGGCCACAGCATTCACTTACCATCGGGTGGACTGTGTGCTCGTTTGTCATCCTTATCCTACAATAAAATGCTGAAGTAGCTTTGGGCCGGTTACATAGCTCGAAGAACCGGCAACTGGTTACACTTGTTGAACATAAACTGCAAACACTTCGTTCTCTTTCTGTAAGTCCGACTCCTAATTATTCTCCGTTCGTTTTTAGTCAATTTACTGTATGTGATGTTAAGAGAATCATATTATCCATCTCCTCAAATGCTGTCGGTAGCGACAGCATTAGCCGTAATATGATCGTTCCTCTCCTTGATGTTATCACTCCCATTATCACTCATTTGCTTAACGCATGTGCATCTTCCTCTAAATTCCCACAAGCCTGGAAGAGTGCTTATGTTATACCCCTTCCGAAGAAATCTAATCCCGTCAACCTCACTGATTTCCGTCCCATTTCGATTTTACCTTTCCTTTCTAAAGTCCTTGAAAAACTTATTTGCCAACAGCTGACCCTTTTTCCTTAATAAGCACAATTTGTTGAATTCTTTACAATCCGGTTTCCGTCCCGGTCATAGTACGGCTACTGCCTTAATTAAAGTTACTGATGACATACGGTGGGGTATGGATAATAAACAACTCACAGTCATGACCTTGCTAGATTTCAGCAATGCGTTCAATACTGTTGATTTCGATATACTGTTGAGTCAGTTGTATTCCCTTAACATATCTCCATCAGTAATTGACTGGTTTCAAAGTTACCTCTGTGGCCGTCGGCAGTGCATTCATGTTGATGAAACTCACTCATCTTGGTGTGATATTACTGCAGGCGTGCCGCAGGGTGGCGTGTTGTCACCTTTACTCTTTTCCATTTTCATTAATTCAATTACTCATAAAATTTCTTCTCTCTACCACATGTATGCGGATGATGTCCAGATTTACACCCAGTCAACTCTTGAGAATTCGCCAAATGCAATCGCTACATTAAACAATGACTTAAATATGATTCGTGAGTGGAGTCAATCATATGGCCTAAATGTCAATCCTAAAAAGTCACAGGCTATCATTTTTGGTAGTCAGAGCTTTATCTCAAGAATTGACTGGTTTTCCATACCACCTGTTGTATTCGATGGGGTTGTGATCCCTTACTTTGACAATGTCAAAAATCTTGGTGTTTACCTTGATAGTTCCTTAAATTGGAAACGCCAACTGAATGAGGTAAGTAAGAAAACCTTTGTCGCTCTTAGTTCACTGCGTCGCCTTCGATCATTTCTTCCCATTGCTACAAAAATTATGCTCGCACAGTCTCTTCTCCTTCCGATTCTCGACTATGCCGACGCAAGCTATGTAGACATAACGAAAGACCAGCTAACTAAGCTTGAGAGACTTCAAAATACTAGTATTCGGTTCATATTTGGATTGCGCAAATTTGACCACATTTCCCAATTTCGCTCACGTCTCAAGTGGTTACCTATCCAATTTCGCCGGAACATGCATATTCTTTCTATTCTGTACTGTGTCTTATTTCACCCTTCTACTCCTCCTTATCTTAAGGAGAAATTTAGTTTTGTTGGGCTTCCAGGGGAAACCTTTACGCTCTTCAAGAAAACTCATTTTAAGGGTACCAACTCACAATACATCTTTCTTTAATAAATCTTTTACTGTACAGTCTATTAAGCTCTGGAATGCCCTACCTTTGTATTTACGCGAAGCTCAGACTATTGTAGTCTTTAAGCGACTTCTTAAAGAGCATTACTTGTCTCAATCGTTCGAAAATCATTAGGATAAATTATGTGATTATGTAGTTTTGTATTTATTTGTTTATGTTATTGTTAGTGGTATGTATTATATTTGAGGATATATGTAAGTATATATGTGTATGTGTGTATATGTATGTATGTATATGTATGTATATGTATATATATATGTATATATGTGTGTGTGTATGTTTATGTATTGACGTAATGATGATAAATGATGACGATATGTATATGTGTATCATATTTTTTTAATGTATTAGTTATTTACTTATATGTTATTTTATTGCATGTATTGATATTATATTAGGTATATTTATATTGCACCACCTACCTAGTACTCACTGTTTTATTCCTTTACACCTTTGGTTGCCTGGAAGAGATCGCTATGTAGCGATAAGGCCGCCAAATTGTACATGTAATCTGCTCTCTGTTATGTTCTTTGTAAATTTGTTTGTGGTGTGCAATAAAGTATATTCAACTGGTAGGGAGGAAAGTTTCTAGAATGATAGCCCCATACTGGTATTCGAAGTGCAGGGCGGTACCCCGCTAGTTGGAGTGACGACCTGGTAAGAAATGCAGGAAGTCGATGGATGCAGGTAGCTGCAGATCATTTTTATAGAATAAGGGAGACAAACAAACACACAGTCTACATGATGGTCAGTGGATGCTGGGGTCTTTAGACACCTACATCTATCCTCTATTAAGAATCAAAATGTAGATGCATTGTTATCCCTGAAGACTAAGATAGAATGCCCTGTTACTTATGTCTCTGCACGCACTACTCGACACACGGCGGTATTAAGCTGCTATATCACGCTTGAATTCTGTGAGCACTTGGTTCGTCGACCAGGGAAGTGCTCACTGAATTCCAGCGTGAGATATATTGTGCAGCAACCATAATATAGCTGCAGCATGGCTCAAGTACGTACCTGCCTTGTTTTGTGGCATTGCTTGGGGAAGCTTATGTTCAGGAAAGGACTTGTAAAGATGAATGGTGGTTATAATGTTAACGACGAATCCTTTCTTAGAAATACCCCATATCAATCACAGAAATATTAAAAATTGTTTTGTTAACATATTTTTACTATTATGACAGAGTGGACAGGAATGTGTTATGGTAAACACTGAACTCATATGGGTTGAGCGCTGGTTTGATACAGGCATTAAGGTCTCTTTATAGGGACTCTAGTGCTTGTGTCAGGATCAATGGGGTCTACTCGGACTGGTTTGGCATCCAAAAAGGTGTCAGACAGGGCTGTGTAGCTTCCCCTTGGCTGTTCAACCTATTTATGGACAGGTGTTTGCAAACTTTAAAAGATGAAGAATGTGGGTTAAGAATGGGCGAGTTAACCGTCAAATGCCTTTTGTATGCCGATGATCAAGTCATATTTGCGTCATCGGCGGCTGAGTTGCAAATGATGGTTACATTAATGAACTGGGAATTAAAAGAAAGGGGAATGAAAGTGAACGCAAGTAAGACGAAAGTGATGGTTTTTGAAAGAGAAGAAAGCAAAACGGTATGTGAAATAAGAATAGAAGGAGAGTTAATTGAGCAAGTGGATGAGTTTGTGTATTTGGGATGTGTATTTAGCAGGGATGGTAGATATGATAGGGATATAGAACGACGAGTAAATGCAGGGAATAGAGTGAATGGGGCACTACACTCTATTATGAAGAACCAGAATGTGTCAAAAAATGCACGTATGGTAATTCATAATGCTGTGTTAGTCCCTACTTTAATGTGTGGTAGTGAAAGCTGGGTGTGGCAGAAGAAGCACGAAAGTAGAATAAATGCTGTAGAAATGCGGTCTTTAAGGAGTATGCTAGGGTTGAATCTGAATGACAGGGTGAGAAATTGCGTGATAAGAGATAAATGTGGTATGCAAGATGATGTTGTGACCAGGATTAAGAAAGGAATGCTTCGGTGGTTTGGTCACGTAGAAAGAATGAATGAGGAAAGAGTGACAAAGCAAATTTATATGGCAGATGTGAACGGCCGAGTTGGGAAGGGACGCCCTAGAAAAAAGTTTATCGACCAAATTGGCGATATTTTGAAAAAGGGGCCACGTTAGAAGTACCCTTAACCGACGAGCATGTATGCGTAGATATATGGATGTAAAGGAGGCGAAAGAGGTATGTCAGGATCGTGCCAAATGGAAGTCCGTAGTCTCTGCCTACCCCTCTGGGTGACAGGCGTGAGTGTTTATGTGTATGTTTTTAACATATTTTTAATACTTAAAGATAAATGTTAAATAATTCACAAGTTTAAATATCGATCGGCACAAAAAATTAACTGCGTAAGGGTAACCACCACTGTAAACAAATTTCACATTGGAAATATTCGAGATGTATTTATGTTTTGATTTTTGGTTACAGTTTCGAAACGGCATTAATGTTCTACGAAAGGAAAAACACGCAGCCAAAAATAAGGTAAATTTTATTCAATTGGATTTAGTGTAATTATTATTTTATCACCATCGTATAAAGAATATCGTTTTAAGTATTGTTATTGCTGTACTTTAGAGAATTATTATGTAAATAACATTCCCAATAAAGACATTTTTTGAAAAATTACGTCCTGAATCATATAGGCCAGCCACGTTTAATATCAGGTGAATCTGTGGGATTGTCAGCCTTACTAGCCTAAAACGAGATTTAAACAAAACATCGATTTCAATATGAAGCGGACTTTAAACTCTGAATCGGAATTAAATTTTCACGTAAACAAATGACTCCGATAGTTCGCAATGTTTTTCAGAAATACATTAAAACATAATGGATGACCCATTGACGTGTTTTTAATATTAATGTTTAAAACTGCGCAACTGGGAAACTGTAAGTGCGCAAATTATCATATGTTGAAGCTTTAATCGATTTATTATTTAAAAATCATATTTCTGGAATATTTAAATTCAGGTAGTGGTACAGAATTGATTGGTCGAGCCTCGCTGCAGCGTATTGTGCAATATTAATTATGTCATAGTACCCGATAAGGCTGAAACGCGAATGGGTCGGTTTGACCGAAGAAGAATCACACTTGCACAGAATACCAGCGTAAAATAACAGCATACCTACTACTGATGTGTGTCGTACCGTGAGTGAAGAGAACCTTCGATACATAAGATCGATGACGAGACATTCAATAATATTTCAATAATATCTTAGGGGTGATGAAACATGTGAATTTTGATTCTTAATCCAAGATATATTTCAAACTTGTCTATGGGCTAAAAATCCACTTGCATTAGGTAGACTATAGGCACATTTGTCAACCTTAATTTTATAAAAAACTCAAGGCAATATATGAAATTATTGTTTCTTAATTATTTGTTACTATTTAAAAAGAATCTTTATTATTTATATTTTTTGCGTGTTGTGTTTTTAATCTGCCTTGGAAGAGGGTTAAATAATGTCACAGACTGAGAATATTTCCTAAATATTTACTCTAATGGCATTACTATTGTCTTGTTTTTTTTTATTCATGGAAATTCCGATTTCAATATTTCGGAATTCCCATGAATAAAAAAAATACAATAATACTGTTACGCAGTACCGAGAACCATGTTTGTAGTCAAAATATCAGTTATTGATATTTTTGAAAATAACATTATATTTCGAATTAAGTCTCTTGTTCTATTTTACATAGATTAATATAAGAAAAAATAATGTCAAATTTAAATAATTTACCATTTCACTGCCAAGCGTGGTATTTCGGCAATTCCTTTCTACTATCGGGCAGTTTATGGGCCGATGAGAATGAAAGCATTATGATATAAATTGCCGAGTTGTTTAGATGATCTGATAAATTGCCAATTAAAGAGGATTAATTTAGGTTGCTAAGCTGTCTGTTTAAAGCCTTGCCTTTACTCGCCCCGCAATTTTTTTTGTAAATTTAGTTTGTTTTTTAATTCTGCTTAATTTAACTTAAAGTTTCATTAAAATAAAACGATAGATTGTCTGATATAATTAAATGCTTTGGCTTCTTTTAATAAAATTGTGGCCATTATGTATTGCATCTAAATATGAGTAGCGAGTCCTCGAGCTACAGCTTTTATAGTTACGTGTATTAAAGTCAACATAGGGCACCCCAAGGTAATTTCAATATATTTAAAAATTTATTTCTAAAGAGGAAATCAAACTGAATCTTAAATTTAACCGCATGAATTTTGCTTCTTACGCAAATAAAATTTATTTGGATGTAAGGTTAGCTCTATAGTAAGGTAAGAATAATTAAAAAAAATATTCATAAAAATATTTTAGTTTTTAAAAAAAAATATGTTGGTGGAAATTTACATCTTTATATCATCAAACCTATTGGAAACAAATGTTTATTGAGATAATAAACTTACTTATTATGGTATTGAAACAATTATTGTTTTTGTTGAGGCACAGGTTTACGTGCATTTAGAACAATGTATAGTTAAATATCCCTTACAATTAGGGTATTTGCATCGCAAGGATCCCCCACCAAAGACCAGATCTTGCCCATATCTTCGAACTTCTTTTGGTGGGCCCACTGATACAGCACTTCTTCTTTTTCTGGCCTGGATTTCTTTTTCTAGAAGACTAGAACTTGGCCGACCTCTTTTATTTTTTTTTGCTACGCCCATGTTGCACAGGACGAAGGCCAGTTCATTTCTAAATGTACCTAAATTATCATATAATATATAGATATCTTTCTTAGGTACATTTTTACCAATGAATTTTTTATATATATTATCCAAGCATTTATCACTACCAGTACGTAGTACTAATTCTGTGTTACCAGGTCTAAGATGAAAAAAATATGAATATACCATTTTCTTGACTTAAGCCTTATTCTGTACCTTACCAGTAAACTATCCATAAAGGTTTGTAAACTATCCATTAAACACCTTCCATATGGGCATTGTATTCACTTATGATCTCAGGGCAATCTGTATCTTTTTTTGCTTCTCACATCTGGATACATTATTCAAAGGCAAAGCACCAACATAGGATGACAGTAATGTGACAACTTTGTTGTCTTTCCATGCTACTACACTCATATCCACACTTTGAAATGTTGAAAATGCCCAAATCTGGTTCATTTTCAGATTTGTTGGTAAGGTCACTCTTCCTTCATGTGCAGCTCTTGGTATATAGATTTATTCATAAATTGTTTTTCATCAGGTACTTTTGAATTAGATATTCTATTTTATTGAACTGATTGATACTGAGATGATTATTTGATTTGTGGCAGAGATGTAAAAAAATGTCAAAAAAGACAATGTGACTGACTTGTCTTGGTATACCTCGAGCTAAACGAAGGACAATGTTGCTGGTTGAGCCCAAATCTGGTTCATTTTCAAATTTGTTGGTAAGGTCCTGCCCGGCATATTCCTAAAAGATGTATGCTATTACTCGCAGACTACATAAAACATACTGTTTAAGTTCCAACTTATAAGGCTTGTTGGGCAAATACTCTTTTAGAAAGTGTGCAACTTTAATTGCACACTTTATATGAAATGTTCTGTGAAAAAGTAGTTAAAGCATGCATATGGAGGACAACTCTGGTCCTAAATCAGAATTGCCTTTGGATTTGATTTTGAACTCATCAAATCCTAAGTTTCTTTTTTTCCGATCAGTTTTCGTTTATCTAACAATCCTGAAAATATATGTCCTGTAGGGTCACTATTATCTACAACTTGGTTGTCTATTGCCTTATTTTAAAACAGCGGTTGCCACACAACAGTCCTGGGCGGAAGAGCGCACCGTGTCAGCAAATGTGGACGTCCAGTTTCTCTATAATTAAAGCATCTTCATGGTGCTTCAAGCACTATGTTTCACGTTTATTTAACGTTTCAATGCAAACATTATAATCAAAAATCGGTAAAACTTTGTTTAATTAACTGGATGAATGTGTCTATGGATTTGTTTACATCATGTACATTGGAGCGTTTTTGTTGGATTACCGACAGTAACAACTGATGATTGATAATCTTAGCGCTTCCTCGATGTCCTTTTTGGTTGATATTTTGACACACGTAGGGTAGGAATGAGATTATGGTCTCGGCATCTCCTCAAGAAATTTAAGGCTGTTAGATATCTTGCGCGCTTGGTCTTTAGATCTTCTAGGTTTACATACTTAATGATTACTTTTATTTACGCGAACTCTACACATTTAATGAGACGGATTTAGGCGGCTGAGAATATCCACTACCCCATATCTTCCCGTGGGTGTCGTAAGAGGCGACAGAGGGAGACAGGCAGGAGATGGGCAGCAGCATCTTCCTGATAACAACAATTACACAATAAAAAACTGTGGTTGCCAACCCGCTCGCCAAGCGTGCCAACTATGGCAAATATCCCCCCATGACTAACGACGCAAACAAATGGCCCCCAGTCCCCGGCGGCCCCGCTATTCCTGGCTACGGTGGCAACCATGGTAACGGCGGGGCAGGGGGGTGCTAAGAATCTCTCGTGGAGTTTCGGTTGCCACCTACGACGACTCGACCTGGTAACATATAACGCACTCACCCTGAGGGCTGACGAGAAGATACTGGAGCTGGAAGAAGAGGTAGACAAGTTGCGCTGGCATATTATTGGATTATACGAGGTCCGAAGAGAGGGGGAGGACACGGTAATCCTCGAGTCCGGCAACTTGTCTATCACCGGGAGAGCGACTATCTGTCCCAAGATGTCGGATTTATCGTCCACAAGTCTCTCGTCAACAACGTTGTAAAGATTAGGAGTGTGTCGACGAGGGTCGCGTACCGATACTCAGAATCGCCAAACGATATTCGCTGAAGGTCATACAGGTTTACGCACCAACCTCGGCACATCCCGATGAGGAGGTGGAGGAAATGTATGAGGATATGTCCAGAGCCATGCATTCCTCCAAAACCCACTACACGGTGTTGATGGGAGACTTCAACGCAAAACTAGGCACAAGAGAAAACGGTGAGCTGAAGTTAGGGAAATTTGGAGTAGGGCACCGGAACCGAAGGGGCCAGCAGCTGGCCGACTTTATGGAGAAAGAGGGACTCTTTATGATGAACTCTTTCTTCCAGAAGTGGCCCCACAGGAAGTGGACCTGGTCGAGCCCCGACGGTTCGACAAAAAATGAGATTGACTTCATTATGACGACCATACGCCAACTGTTCAGTGATGTCTCAGTGATAGCAAGGGTGAAAACTGGCAGCGATCACCGAATGGTTCGAGGCACACTGAACTTAAACGTTAAGTTGGAGAGGTCTCGTCTAATGAAGTCAACGCTCCGTCCCCCTCGTGCTAAAATCCAGAATCCCGAAACCTTTCAGCTCGAGTTACGTAACCGCTCTCAGTGCCTAGAAGATTGCAATGCAGTGGACGATATGAGTGACAAGCTCGTGGAAACTGTCCATGCGGTCGGAGCTAAGTTTTGCAAGGCCCGCCGCAGAAGAACACAAAAACTCTCCGATCACACTCTTAATCTCATGGATGTTAGACGGGAGATGAAG